GGAAATGTGGTCAATGAATTAGACTGACATAAATCCAATATGAGAAATATTATGGAATATGAGGATCCAACAAGAATTTTTCTTATGTCAGTGTGCATCATAGCTTGCAAATATTTCCCATGATTTCTCCTTGTGATAGAGGCATGGCAAAAATTTGCATAATAAGCCACATGAACTTGTCTCATAAATAAAAATGATCTTTGGGCTTTGACATTAAATGAAAATGTCTGATTTGACACTTTTTCTCTCATGGTGGTTTATCCAAAATGCTTGTCTTAATTCAAATGGGTATGTCTAGAAAAATTCAGGAAACCATGTCCTTAAATATTATGGTGTTTGCCATGTTGATGAAGGGCATCAGAGATGAATGTGTCTTAGATAACCAGTTAGAACACATTCCCAAATTCCAAGATGCCTCTTAAATACCTATTTTTTGCCCTCCAGAAAAGTTCAACTCTAACACACCAAAACATTTGGTTGCAAAGTGAAAAATGTGGACAAACTGCTGAATTAGCAATCAGATTGTTAGATTTCTCCCCCCTGCTGAAATAAGCAAATGAACCACTTGTCCTGGTATCAGTAACAATAAAAAAAATCATGAAAGTTTTGTTTCAAGATCAGTATATAATGTACTTATGTTTACATAAACATACATGGTTAATTAGATGTAAAATTATCTGGTAATTACTTTTCCAAATAACTCTTTATCCACTGCATCCGAACTTCCCAGTTCGGACACCCGGTTTGGTGCATCCATTTATGCATTAGCAAATTTAAATATACTATTGGTGAAATTTCACTTCAGAGCAAAAGTAACGCTATCAAAAGGTAACGTTCAAAAACAAAGAAGAAAAGTTATGATTCCAAGAAGGATTTTTAAAAAGTGTTCTTGGAGAGGCCTAGGTTTTTCCTAAAGGAGCAGAGATCTGAACAGAAGTATTTTTAAATGAGCATACACATCAACTGAAAACCATAAATTCTTGTCTGCACAAACATGGTTTTACTTCATTGACCATGGACAATTATCAGCTAAAGAACCATGTATTTCCCCTCTCCTTTCACACCCCTCAGAAGAACAATAACCCTCAATTAATGACACAACAGTTTGGTTTGAAAAATGTGATGTTGTCATATACAGCACTGTGCATTTACTGAGTGGCAGTGCTACCAGCTACTCAACAGAATGTAATTACATCTGGAATCTAAAACCACTTCAGCATGCACAAAAATGCTGTAGACATAAGGAACTTTACACACAAAAAATCTGACACATAATGAGAAAGCAAAGCAAGAAAAATGCTCTTACGAGTTGCTCACCAATGTGTTCCTTATTTCTCTTGAAGCTGGTACCTTTCTATTATTTCTCCTTAGTTGAAAGCAAGGTCCAATTAGCCTCCTTAGAATATATTAATTGGTTCTGAATCTCCTCCAAGTTTTCATTCCGCCGTGGAGCCCTCCTCGCCTACCTTCCAACAGTTCATCTAAAATTCTTCCAACATCTTCCCTCATCCTCAAGATGGCTACCTCACCTAATGGAAAAGCAACATCTTCATGGTTGGCTTTATACATTCCCGAAGCATTTCAGGATTTAGTTCTTTGCTTGGGTCAATTATGTAGATTCTCTACAACTAATCAGCGAAGAGCTCCCATGAATGCGTGGACTGGGGTAGGACTCGGTCCTTTTTTCAGATTATCCTCACAAAATGTCTTCCTACATGATTAATAAATTCTTCCCAGTTAAAAAGGTGAAGATATCTGGACCTAAGTTTTTCTCAACCGACATAATGTCTTAAAAATTTGTTTCCATAGTCACATTGTTAAGGAGACATACTGATTGATATTTCTGAAGACTTAGAGGACTTCAGAACACAGAAAAAAATAGCCGAAGGAAAGGGAAAGGGGGAAACAAAGGGACTCAAAAGAAGGCCTAACCTACGAATGGGGCAACCTGGAGAGCAGCGGAGAACCTGGGGACACTGGTGCTCGTCGGCCTTAGAGTTCCTCTGAGATCTTGCAGGATTATTCTGACTCTTTTTTATATTTGCAGAAACCAACCCAAATGAGACAATAAAGTCTTGCAATGCATCAAAACATGATGATAACCAAGCCCTAGAACTCAAAAAAAAAAAAAAAAAAAATCTCAGCTTAGGGCCATCACCATCTTCACAAGGAGGAAATAACATTTCCTGGTGACTTTCAGGAGACCTGGTGCAGCTTAAAGTTGTGTGAAGACCTCAGTGGAAATGTTTTAAGGGTTTTGCCTTGCCTTTCCTGAAGGAGGTCAAAACCCTTCAGGGCCACTCAAAAGGAGAAAAAAAATTCCAAAAGTTTACTTTAAAATGGAAACAAACGCCTCAATAACTTGTGAAAGCACTCCTTTGGTGGGAGAAAAATCTGAGGAACCCTTAAAAAGCCCTCATTTCCTTGCATAATGAATAGAGAGTGAGGAACCACCACAAGATTTCCCTCTGGAAAGGGAGAAGGAGTAGGCAAGCCTCCTCCTCCTCCTCCTCCACCCATCACCAACAGAGCTTCAAAATGGAGACATCCATAATTTTATAAACACTTCTCATCTCAGCTTTGTCTCCTGGAAACCCGCTCTCCTCCATTTTCTGCTGGAGTTACAACATGACACGGCTTACCTGACTCAGTTCCCAGCTCTTAACCAAACTAATCACTTCCTCCAAAAACCTGCAAGCAACCTCCAGAAACAAAACCAAAGCAAACCAAACAGCCAACACAGACACTCAGACACAGCCCCCGGGAGCCCTGGGAGAAAGCCCCAACTGGTTGGTCTATCCCCATCCCAGACGCGTGCTTAAAAATGAAACTTTTTTTTTTTTTTCCTTGGTTGGGGAGGAATATAAAAGGAACTCCAGGCAGCTTCCCTCCCTCTCTGTAGGTTAGAAGCTACAATGAAAAGAAAATGAGGGTTCCTTCAGGAATGGTGAACAGCCTGGAGAATGAACGTGAGAAGGAGCTTTGTGTTTTGGAGTCTGGACTGGAACCAAAGCAGACAGCTTGCAAATGGAGGACAGGGAGATAAAGAAAGGGAAAGAGGGGCTGCTCCAATGGGGGGCGGCTGCGGCTTCCCCTCGTGCCTGGAAGGAGGGCAGACCCCTGGGAACTGCACCAGGAGTGAGACGCCCCCCCAGGCCCCTGCCTTCCTTTCTCCTTTCCTCAGAGGAGAGCCAAGCGTGTGTAATGGCTTCTCCTCTCCAGAAACCGTTGTCCTCCTCCACCAGACGCGTCTGAACCCCCAGCCTGGAGACAGCTCCTCAGCCGCTCTTGAACCTGCGCCCCCCACCCGGCCGGTGCCCCCGGCTCCTCGCCTCTCTGTTCACCAGCAGCACCGGCCCAAGCGGCTGCAGCAGCCACCCCCCGACACATCCCGACCCCGCATCCCAACTTCGGGGAGAGAGAGAGGAAAGAGAGAGAGAGGAGAGAGAGAGAGCCAAATACCTGAGGAAGAGGGGGGGTGCCAATCCGCACGGCTTTGCCATCGGGCGGGGGACAGGCAGACAGAGGGGGGAAAGGAAGGAGAGGGACAGAGAAAGAAAGAGGTCAACCCGCTCAGGTCGGGGCCGCTGGCTCGGAGCTCTCCCTCCTCTGACCCTCGCTCGCTCCCTTTGGCTCTCGGCTCAGGTCTCCTGCCTCCCGCCCTCCGCCCCCCTCTCTGTCCCTACTCCAGTCCCCACACTCGGAGCATCCGTCCTAAGCCTCCAGCTCTCTTCTCACTCATCTTTCATTTTCTCTTCTCTTCATAGAACTACACGAAATTAATTAAGCCACCGCGCTCACTCCCCCCAGCAGAAGGAGCAGCCAGCAGGAAAAGCACAGCCACCTCCGCTGCCACCACTACCACCTTCTCCTCCTCTTCCTCCTCCTCCTCTTCCTCCCTCGCTTCTCCTCCTCCTCTTCCTCCTCCCCCTCCTGCTCTCCCTCCTCCCCCTCCTCCTCTTCTCTCTCGCTTCTTCTCCTCTTCCAACAGCCAGTCCATGCAGGGGACTTCCTCTCCTCCCCGCTCCTCCAACCCTCCTTGGCCGAATGAATGAGCGCGTTTGTGCCTCCACCGCCCCGCGCTCCCCTACCCGGAGCACTCGGACCACCCCGAGGTGGTTGTTAATTGCAGTAACTTACAGAAGAAGCGTCCCGGCGCCGGGAGGTGCTTCGGTTTCTCCAGCCCCACCGCCTCCTTATCCTCTTTCTCTTTCTCCTCTTCCTGCTCGGGTTATTGTTGTGGAAGTTGTTTGGGAGTCTCATGTGCTTCTGCCGGGTCTCAGCAATGGAGGATCGCCATCTTCCCTGCCTTCCTCGGCTCCTCAGACTCGCTGCAGCTGCAGATGACCTGAGATATCCGTCTCTCTCCCTCTCCCTCTCTCTCCCTCCCTCCCTCTCCCTCTCACTCTCTCTCTCTCTCTCTCTCTCTCCCCTCTCTCTCCTCTTCTCTCTCCTCTCCTCCCTCTCCCTCGCGCGCTCTCTCTCTCTCCCTCCCTCTGTGTCTCTCTCTGAATAATGAGCAACCAGGGGGAGAGAGAAAGCAAGACAGAAAGAGAGAAGGAAGACAATCTTCTCCTGCCACACAAAACGCCGGAGCACCAGGGGGTGCGCGAAGCCTTTCTAATAACAACAACAACGTGCAGGAGCGAGGAAGAAAAAAAAGAAAGGAAGAAAGAAAGAAATGAGGAAAAAGGCTAGGGGGAAAGAGGAAGAATTATCCAAGAGCCGGAGAAGAGCAGAAGGAGAAGCTGGAGGAGATGCTGAGGCTGCTGCTGCTGTCCCCCCTCCCCCCTGCTGAACCCCAGAAGGAGGCAAGGTGGTTGCAAAGTTAAGGCTGGGACATTGTCTTTGTCACTCAGAGCAACACAGAGCCAGGCCAGTGAGATGCAAGAGGAGGAGGTGGCGGCGGCAGAGGAGGAGGAGGAGGTGGTGGTGGAGGAGGGGGAGGAAGAGGAGGAGAAGGAGGCAAAGGAGAAGGAGAAGGGGAAGAGGGAGATGAGATGAATAAAGACCTGCGGAGAAGGCGGTGCGAGGAGCGCGGCGGCCGGGCCAAGGCGTGCGCGCTCGCGTCCCGGTGGCGCCCGGCAGCCCTGACCCGCAGAGGAAGCCCCCGGTGAGGACCCTGCCCGGCAGCTCATAGCGCTCCCACCGTCAGCCCTGCCCGAGGCGCCGAGCCCGGGCCCCAGAGGGTCCCTCACTTGCATCCATCTAGAGGCCAACCTTTGCAAAGAACATACATGGGGAACTGGAGGTTGCAAGTCTAAACCCAGATCAACCACGTGGGGCTTTTTAATCCCTTTCCAGCTTGCGGTGTGAGTATTTCCAGTGAAAAGCTCAAATTGTCCATTACTGGCACGTATTTTGAAGTCTTCTCCCCTGAAATAAAGGCTCATTGTGCGTTTTATTTCTTTTCTGATATGGAAGGTGGGGGGCGGAGGAGGAAAAGAGCCCATCATTCCGAGCTTCGGAACCACCACTTTTCCTAACTTGTGAAATGTTTTGACTGCGCACCAAAAGAAAAAAAGAAAGCCTGCTTAAATAACTTTACACCCTCCAGCCCCGCGTTGTTTGCACTTTCTGGTTGATCATCTAAAGGCTCGGAAAGTAACAATCAGCGCTCCTAATGATAAGGTGTCATGGTGTTGAAGACACGCAAGCCAAGCTGAAGCTTTCACACCTTGAATTTTTATTTAGCGTAATTTCCCCCTCGTATCATTCGGAACTATCTCTTTCGCAAAGGAGTGATTCCCCCCTCCACCACCAGGTCGAAAGTCTCTTAAGGCTTTAATTGGACTGGGAGCGGTGGGGGGTGGGGGTGGGGGTTCTACAGTATCAAAAAAATCAATGCAGTAAGTCAGGAGCAATTGAAGTTCAAGGGCATGGGCTGATTGTACCATTTCAATTTCTCGGATCTTGGAGTTGGACATCAACAGCCTCAGGAGAGAGAAACGCGCAGCGCGCGGGGCAGAGACCTTAATTAAAGTTTCTTTTGTCCGCGTCTGAATTGGGGGATGTTGCTGGATTCCTTTGCATTGAGGAGCGCGCATCCGGTGAAGGCGCGGTGCTAAGGATCCTGGGCAAGACTGTCCTCTTTAAATACTCGCCCTTTCTTCTCCCTCCCCTCCAAGCAGCAGTCCGAGAAGATATATACCCATAAATCCATACAATAAAGGAGAAGGAGGAGACGCGCGCGGAGTTGGTTCCCATCCGATAGCGGGGCTTCCTAAACCGATCTAAATCCTCCTTTTCCAAGGTTTTCCCGACCCTATATTCCTGAGCAGAATCTCTCACCCCGAGGCACGATTTCACCCACTTCCAGTCAACACTTCCTGCCCTTTTCTCCTCCCACTCACATTGAAAAGCTCGGGATCCCTAAAAGGGTGTTGATGGCGGGGGTGATAAATAAATAAATAAATGACACTCTACGCGTGCGGTGGAGAAGAAAGGAGGGGGAGGGAGAGGAAAGGCGAGGAGAGAGAAGTAAGGAGAGGAGAAGAACAGGGCGCAGAAAGGATAGAGGCGAAAGGGGAACGGGAGTCACCGAGAAGAGAAAGAAGAAGAGAGGAGGAGGACGCTGAGGCTGTTCCGGACTGAAATGATCCTGGCTTTGTGCGGCTTCGGGAGGACTCCCCCTTCCAAGTGCCCAGAGGGACCCAGGAAAGTCCTTCGGCCCCGAGCTCCTCCCCACCCGGACCCGGGGGGTGTCTGAGCGCTGGCCGCCGCCACCCCGTAAATTCCTCGTGGCAACCGGAGGAAGCGCGCCAGGTCTCCGCCGTCCCTCCACTGTCCCGGCTGATAATTTACCTCTTTGTCTTTAATAAAAAGCTGACTTTTTCTGTCAAGCTCTGCACCGAGAAAATAACAACCGTATTTCAGGTTGAAAGCTGCTATGACTGCTGGTTTTGGAGGCTGCGATAAAATCTTCATCGACGTGAAGGTACCTTCTGGGTTGGCTTTGGGTCGTTAAGTCCTAAGAGGGGGGCCGTCCTTCCCTGGGGGCAGGGACGTAGGGAACCTGGCGGTGGGGAGGGAGGGAGGGAGGAGCTGCGAGGTCCGAGGAAACGCTTGGGTTTCCAAGGTTCCTGGGGCACCAAAGGGCTTCCCGCAGTCGGGGAACGAGCCCTGGGGAGGAGCCTTTTGCGAGAACGTGAGCGCGCCCCAACACGCCTCAGACCTCGTAAACCCACTTGGCAAAGACCGGGGAAGCGGCTGGCGGACAGACTGCGGTGAACTCAAGAAATTAACCTGCGCTGCAATTAAACGGGCTGCCGCCCTTTCAGACTCACCTCGAGCGACCGAGATAGAGAGAGCTCCCGGACCGGCCGCGGGGGGACCTGGCTCCACCCTCCCGTCCCAGGAGAAGAGGACAAAAAGGGGAGATGGACTTGGAGGCGGCCCCGCCCTTCAAACGCTCCAATCCTTGGAAACCAAACCTCCTCTCCAAGCCTCCACGTCTAGAAGGGACAAAGGCAGCGAGGAGATCCAGAGACCGACGGGGAGACGCTGGCTTTCAGGCTTCCGGTGTGGGTTCATTGGGGAAAGGTACAATGGTTGAGTTTCCATCCCAAATACGGTACCACAGGATGGTCTTTAGAAGACACAGTCGGTCTTCTGGTTTAGAAGCAAACTGACTTCCTGAAGCTGTGAAGCGAACTATTGCAAAACTCCCCAGCTTTTTGAATGTGGGGGCGATACAAATTCAATTAATGATGCCATACACATAATCTTTTAGACTTTTTAGAAGTCACAAACGCTTTAACTCTACAATGATAGTAATTGAAAGAGGTTAAACATGAATGGGCTTTTTTTTTTCTTTTTGTTTTTATTTGGGGTACTTTTTTCAAATGATAAAAAACAAAACAACAACAACAACAAAAACTATAAATGAAAGCTGGGTAATTCAAGGAAAGCGCTGTGCCTGAGGGTTTTCGGTGAAGACCTTAATACACTTAGCATTTAAGTAACTGTAATTACGCTTTGCCATTAGCAGACCATTAAGATAAACAGGAGAAAGTTCACACCTCCTGCTATTTCATTCCCTAAGAATATTCACAAAGATAATACCAGGCTAGTTGGGGTTGGGTTATCTTCTCCATCAGGAGGTTTAAATTTGTTAATTAAAATAGAAAAAACTTGGTTTCCTACACAACCAGCAATGTGAGGGGAAGTCTCACGGGGACATCCCGACTCCTTGAAATTTACCTTTTTTTACTTTACCCTATGGCATTATCCCCTGGAGTCATATGGGGTTTCAAGACTATTAATGTTCCAGGGAATATGAATATGTTAGAGGTCTGGACTTTCTTCTCGCTTATCATGGGTGACTGGCATACAAACTCCTCATAAAGAGAAATTATGGCTCATCAAAATAGTGACTTTATGAGCATTAATAGAATAATAAATCTTGCATTTTAGTTTAAGAAACAGTGAAGTCCTATAATCAGAGTTACCCATGCAAATATGATCCATTCACTTGCCCAACTTTAACAGGATACGGATAGTCTATAAATCATTTTAGGTTTTTTAAAACCTTAAAAAAGGAAGGCACCCAAATCCCCCAAAGGGAAGTGTTTATGGAGGGAAAGGGACTTCTAGCAAACCTGCAAGAAGAGATCGTGGAAAAATGGTCAGTCCAGAAGCTGAATTAGATAGAATTTCAACTGCAACAAGAATGGATAGATGTTCTAATGTCATTGTTTCAATATTTACATTCTGTCATTTAAAAAGAGACAAGTCTTCCTGCTTCCCAAAAGCTATACTAAAAAAAATAAAAAAAAAAAAAAAAAAAAAAAAAAAAAAAATCAGTTCATAGCCCCACTTTGTAAATTCCAGCTGGAAAACTGTTCAAGTCAATGATTTTAGCAAAAGAAAGAGTAGGTGAACACAATATGGCTTTTTAACCACATTGTCACACATCTCTTAACTTGGGATTTTCCTGCCAATGTAAAACTTCCTTTCTATGCAATGCAACGTAGTCTTTTTTACTAATTGAGTTTGTTTGTGATTTTTCAACGAATAACCTATTTTGAATTATTGAGAGCTTTACTCTTGTTGGAAATTACTGTCTTCAAAAAATTTTTCTCAAAACTTCAAATCGGATAATTGCAGACCCTCCAAATACCAAAAAAGTGAAGTCACTAGCACACCTTTCTGATCTCTTATAAAAAAAATCAATATATTGTCATAAAGCCATATTTAAACATATGTAACTAGTTAGCTAGTGTCCATGCCGAGGGAAAAGTGACTAAAAGAAGACAAAGGTGGATATTCATGATTCTGAACAGCTCTCAAAGGAAGAGACATTGCAATAACTCATATTAAACTTAGTCCATATGAATCTTTGTATATATACCTTCGGATATTAAAGATGTTTCAATAGTGATAATTTAAAATTCAAAAGAAAGTTTCCATAGGTGGAAGTTAAATGTACAGTTCTGTCAGACTAATTATTGTAATATGTAGTGTGTATTATTGTTCATTCAGCCATTGAATCTTTGTTTAGCATCTGTATTATGCCATTCTCAGAACTGAATACTAGGGATACAGAGATGAATAACTGAAATGAGTGAGATTTTTGATGCATGATCTACTTCATGAGCTACTAGCTTCAAAATCACATTACTTAGATTTAAAACTTCAGATTTTTTACTCAAAAGCAATACCAGGATTTGGCCAATGATGAAATAATAATGAATTTGAATATTTCTGTTCTCACAATGAAGCTATTAAGGAGTGATATTTTGTCAAAATAAAATTTTTGGAGTTCATTGTAAAGCCGATGTCTTAACTCATAATTTAACATGAAATTCTTCCTCAAAGAGATCTATTTTATTTTATTTTTTATTTTATTTTAGATAAAGTCTCGCTCAGTCACCCAAGCTGTAGTGCAGTGGTGCAATCTTGGCTCATTATAACCTCCACCTTCAGGGTTCAGATGATTCTCCTGCTTCAGCTTCCCAAACACCTGGGACTACAGGCACACACCACCACATCAAGCTATTTTTTGTATTTTTAATAGGGACGGCGTTTCACTGTGTTGGCCATGCTAGTTCCGAACTCCCAACCTCAAGTGATCCACTCATGTCAGCGTCCCAAAGTGCTAGGATTACAGGCATGAGCCACCACTCCTAGCCAATCATTTTAAAAGAGCAAAATAGCAACCTTGTATCAACTAGGGTTCAATTAACTAAATTCTGAAGACAAGACTCAAGTTAACAGATTGCCCATTTGTTGAAGCTTCACTTCCAGCAGAAAGACCAACATTTCTAGATTCTTACTATTTGTTCTCCAACTGAAGCTTGGAGAAAGGAAGTGACTTATTCAGGAACACAGAGCTGGTAAAGAGCAGTCAGCCCTAGAATCAACACTTCAGTGGTAGTTTCTCCAAAGTTATCATTCTCATATCAGAGTCAAGATTTCTTCTTTTTCTTTTTTTGGGAGGGAGGGGGATATATTTCCATGTTACTTGGTCCTGTTATTTAATTAATATATGTTTTTAAAGTCAACTTTAAAATTTTTTAAACTTTATCATAAGCAATAAAATTCACAAATCACAGGTCTGATGGGCTATTTATATATACATTTTTCAATGCATATCAAAATACATATACTATTATCAAAATTTAAAGATAGATTTTTGGATAAAAAATGTCTGGTAGTATACTTGCTAAACTGAATGCTAATGACAAGGAGTGAGAGACGGGGAGGAAACTTGTTACAATTTGTGTGTGTGTGTGTGTGTACAAATGAATCACTTATAATTTTAAAAAATATCAAAGAAAAAATTATGTGACATAGTAGTAGCTAGTCTATCTCTAAATTAAGCCATCTCTTTGTAATATTCTTAGTAGGAAATAAAAATTAGAACAAATCTTTTTTAGAACAATTTAATAATATACATTTAAAGTCTTAAAAGTTCACACTTTTGTGCCCTAATTCTTATGCTTAGAATCTACCCTAAACAGAAATGGAAAAATATGAATATATGAAATGATAAAGTAAGTAATCAAAAATAAGTGATTAAGAGGTATAGTTAGGTAGATAATAATCTATTTCAATTACGACATATTAAGTAGCTTAAATTGTTTGAGAATGTTGTGATTAAATAGAAAAATGGTCCAGGTAAAAGACGTGGATATAAAAATTATGATCATGAATTACTTTTTTTTCAAATTGCATACCCTAAAAATCACCTTGAATGGAAATATACCAGCATATCAACAGTTAAGTTGACTTCTCATTATAAAAAATTTAGAAAATTGAGTATGTATATATAAGCTATGTAAGTTATACAGTTGTATAATGATGTTATATATATATGTATATGATATGGAGTCAAATGCTTTGTTTGGACTGAATTATCAGTTACCTTTTTAAGTATTTAAAAACATTTTAAATGATAGAATGTACTTTTTATGTGTCTGGTAATTGAAAATGTGTCTCAAGCAACATATTAATACTGCTAATGAAATAGTGGTACAGAAAGTTTTTCACATAGGTGTTTCTCCATTCACAGATAATACAGGAAGAAGGTTTGAGTAAGCACTTTAAACATATTTATATAGAAAAGAAAATTTAGAACCAACGGATTGAATGCTTTAACCTAAGGCCTTCCAACACTAATGGTATAAAAACTAAAATCCAGATCTCCTAATTCCTGTTATATTTTGAAATCTGTCATTGTACTACAGTTGAAAAATATTAGCAAAAGAAAATTATTAATGGCCAATATGAAAAAAAGTTCAACACAGCATTTACATTATATTAACTATTATAAGTAATCTAGAGATAATTTAAAGTTTATCAGAATAGGCATGTAGATTCTATGCAAATATTGCACCATATTACATAAGGCACTTGAGCATCCATGGGGTTCCTGGAACCGATATCCTGTGGATACCAAGGGATGACTATGTACTGAATGTTTGTGAGTATGTGTGTTTGAGTGTGTGTGTATTTCCCAGGTGTTAAGAGCATATATAACTCCTAGTTGAGAATATAAAAAAAAACCCCTATAATTCTCTACTGATGAGACTGAAACTATGAAAAGTTTCATTCTTCCTGGGCATATTAAAGGTCTTTTACCCAGGAATTTAACTTTTGGAAATTGATTTAAAGAAATATTCATGACTGTCATCAAAATTTTATGTATAAGGAGATTCATTGTAGCATCAATAACTAGCAGCAAGTGATCAAAGAAGTTATATTCATTTGTGTAGTATAAAGTTGTATAGCTATCAAATTTTGTAGGAAATGTCAAATGACACTGAAATATTTACCTGATTTTTTGATAACAAAAAATAGATTTCGAAACAATGTATATAGTATTATCCCATATTTCATGTATATGTGTGTGGGTGCACATGAGTGTGTGTGTGTTTGTGTGTATGTGTGTAGCTAGGCATTGAAAAATAATCAGACAAGTATAATCAAAGTATTAATCGTAGTTTTTCTCCAGGTAATGCCATTTTTTTCTAGGTGACATAATTATGTATACATTATATATTTTTACTCTGACTTTTCAGATTTTTAAACTTTTCTACAGTGAGTATATCTCTTTTGCAATTAGAAAAATTTTAAAATTTGCAAATAAATTTTACCAGCACAAAATTTCTTCCATATCATAAGACTGACCAAATCCAATGTTTTTCTAATTTATAATGTT